GACTCCGCTGCCCACTTCCCCCCAGGTTGAATATGACCTTTAAATAAAGGTGTGTGCAAGTATGCAAAGATAATTCCTCCATTAAGCTCAAATTTCAGTCCAGCTAAACAAGCACAAAATGTACCAGGAATAGCCAGGCTAGCAGCACAGCTGCTACTTTTCACCGCCCCTTATGGTACTGCTATTAACCATTTCTGACCATTTAATGTGAAAGCATTTCTAGAAATCCAGATTAAATTTAATTGATTCCAAGTTTCATATAAAAATATAGTAAAATCCTACAAATCACAATCTGATTTCAGATGCCCTCATTGTACTAGTAGTGCCCTATAAACACAATAGCAGGAATCAAATATAATTTTTACAGATAAAGATTCTATAAAACAAGTAGATTAGCTGAAGCAAAATGTTTTGGTTCAGTACTTCAATTAGTATAGTAGTTCAGGTTCCTTCATTCTTGAATTTCTTTTTCTTTAGCAATTTGATATGAAGCATCTTTTACTTTGCTGGTAAACTTTATATTTATTATCAATTTCTCAACATAGCTAGTCACAGGCACTGTGATTTATGAATCCACTGCTGATAGGCTGGATACTACTCAAATGCTATAAAGGAGTACTATTCTTCCCCAAGAGAGGCAAACGTTTGAAGTACTGAATACAGTCTTTTAACTTCTTGAAAAATATTGTGCAAGCAAAGAACAAAATGAAAATACAAAAAACAATTTAATACTGTAATATCAGAACAAGCAGGTTATGTTACCATGAGCTAAGGAAGTTCCTTCCTGATTTGAGGTCTTGAAAGCAGAAGTAAAAGTTTGTCTCAAGTAAGCTATGTTAATTGGCTTGAACTTTTTTTTTTGCACCTATGAAAATTCTACCAGAGGAGAAGAAACTACTAAATCCATATACTGAGAGAAATCAGTCATAGAAGACAGTCAAAACAAATAGTAATGAATAGAACAAATAGTTCCTTTTAGATTTCCTGTTAAATATCTGCGCATGAGGAGGTATATTCATTATGCCATATATACTACCACTAAATGTGAACAAGAATTAAAGCATTAACAGTAAGATGTTTAATTTCTCAAAGTACAAAGTTGAAAACTTTTCATAATTCACCTCCTTCCTGTGGCAGGCCAGTAGGGGGTGCTCCTGCATTGAGTCACCCACCTCACTGCACCCAACCACCTTCCAGGCTCCCAGTGCCTCCCTGGTCCGAGCTCCTTCCTGGAGCACACCCGCTAGCCTGGGGACAACACTGCCACCACCCAGGGATGGGTTTGATTCTGGCTCTGTGCACCCTGGGAAACACAGGCCTAGTAGCCCTCGAGGGTACTTGATTCACTTTAAGAACTTGGGATGCTTCCCTCAGTCAGAAGCACAAGTAGTGGTCTCCCTTAGTCAGCTGAACCAAGGGGACCCCAAGGCATAATGTAGACCCACTCCCAATAAGTCTCCCATGCTAGGTACAAAGGAGAACTTTACTGGTTACAAGGGATAGGGTTGGAATAGGGTACAGGTTACAGCAATATCAGACAAATCCCAAAAAGCAAACTGAGTGGCTGGGGTAGCCTTTGATCATGCATCTGAGTTACTGCAAGCTATATATATAGTTAGATCTCAGGTAGCTTACTCACAGGTATCATCCAGAGGCAGGTGGAGATTCCCTCTGGAGGCAGGCAGTTCCTTGATCACGAGTTTTGAGAGAGCAAGAGAGAGAGCGCGCGCAAGTTTCAGATGGTCCAGCTCTTCTCTCTCTGAGTCTTCCTCATAGCTGCTTCCCCCCCTCCCAGGCAGTCCTTAACTTATATAGCCCTTCTGACCTCATTTGCCTGGTCCCACAGAGGCCAGCACCTGTTGGCTGTCAGCCAACCAATTTGAAATGCATCACTAGCTGCTGGGCAGACTGACAGTCTCTAGCTCCCCAGGGACCCCAAGCCCCTCACCCAGGTATGTGATGCCAGTCACATAGGCAGAGGGAGCAGGTTTCCCCCCTCCCTCAGGAATGTATCCAGCTCAGATTACCTAAAGAAATAGGGTAAGGTGTGTACCCTCTATAGGGCCCATCTTAACCAAACTGTCACAGAGCAGAGTTTTTGGGGAGAAACAGAGGTAACGTTTGTCTCAGGTAATCTATGTTCATTGGCTTTAACTTTTTTTTTTTTGCACCTATGAAAATTCTACCAGAGGAGAAGAAACTACTAAATACATATATTGAGAGAAATCAGTCATAGAAGACATTCAAAACAAATAGTAGTGAATAGAACAAATAGTTCCTTTTAGATTTCCTGTTAAATACCTGCGCATGAGGAGGTATGTTCATTATGCCACTAAATGTCAACAAGAATTAAAGCATTAACAGCAAGATGTTTAATTTCTCAAAGTACAAAGTTGAAAACTTTTCATAATGCACCTCCTTCCCATTAGATAATTAGAAAACCTTTATACAATTTTGTCAAAGGCAGAATTATTCATGTATTGTTTTGTCTCGAAATCTAAAAATGTCACTAGTTCCTATAACGTATCTGAACTAAGGTACTAGACAATGTTAAAACTTTACACATATTTGGCCCCATATTTGGCATTTTTAAGCAACTTTTAAAGATCATGACAACATAATGGTGATAAATTATTCTGGTCTCACTATTAATGTAGAAAATGTTACACACACACACACACACACTCTCTCTCTCTCAGCTTCCCTTTAGAACTTCAGTTTGTTTTCTAAAATTCAATTTTAAGAGGAGAACATGATTATACTGCTTTATGATACGGTATTATTTCAATTAAAGTATTGCTTATATTGAAATAAGCTCAGTTTTTTGCTTCAGTCTATTCCAATGTACTTTGATGTCTATTTGCCTATTAATAAATATGGGACTTAGAAATGTAACTGTCATTAGAAGCAGACAAAACTCTTGGGTAGAGGCAATCTTTGATTAGACCAACTAAAATAGTAGCAAAAAAAATTCTTTCTTTGCAAGCTTTTGGGTTCAAATACTCTTTGTCGGCCAATTAGAATTCAAAGATTGTAAGAGTTCTCCCAGGTAGAAAAGAAACTTCATCTTGCACCGTGGAAGTAAAGGATGGTACAGTTCCCCTGGGTTTCAAAGGACTTTTGCCTCCCCTTGCAAGATGAAGTTTCTCTTCTACCTGGGAGAACTTTTACGATCTTTGAACTCTGCTCTGCCTGATGAACGGTGCTTGGACCAGACTGCTTGCAAAGAAATAGTTTTTTTGATACTATTTTAGTTGATCTAACAATTGGATGCTTGACCCAAAGCTGTAAGATTTTGGCCCTGGGACATTACTTACATGAGTAAGGCAAACAGAAGATTTGTTCATTAACAAGTAAATATTATATATCAATAAGCAACAATGCAAGTTATGACTAACTAGAAAAAACAAGCATTCACTAAACACTATACTTTTGTTTCCTAAGGATAGAAGCTATGGTAGTTGACAATACTAATTTATTTTGGAAGAAGTGAAAATATTTTTCCAGTGAATTAAATAGTTAAGAAAAGTATTAGATAATGTAGACATGGCATTTTAGCCATTACCTGGCTTGCTGTCACTATTTTAGTTCCATACTCTTCCTAGAAAATATGCACAATTGTGTCAAACTGGTAATTTATGATTCTAAGTATCCTCTAAGAACTGGGCTGAGATTGCCGGTCTCATTTCACTTGTCACCTGACTAAATTAGAACCTAGATATAAGGTTACTGCATAAAAGCACTATCTTATTTAGTAACTAGGTTACTATCTAAGCACTACGATATTTCAAAAGATAATTTTGCTATTTATTGACACCAAGAACTGTATTATGAATTACGTGTTAATTGTAGGAAGGAGGATGTCCACCAGCATAATGGCAACAATATACCACATAAATTCATTTATCTTTTTTTCTAAACTGGTGGAATCAATGATAGTAAACAAAACGGCTGACATATATATAAGCTGCACCATTCAATGCAGCTGCGTACTCTAATTGGAAAAGGGTGTTAAGATGAATAGTTACAACCTCAAAAAACAGAAGAGACATTGCTTTAAAAAATCTTCATAAAAATAAACATGAATTAAATTATTTTTATGTTTAGTGAAATTTTTCAAGGCACATATTTCAACTGGACTGCACATCAACTGCAAAACAGATTGGAATTGTTTAAAAGTTTTCCCCAGCCTCAGAACTATGAGTTTTAATCTTTCAATAGGATGGCTGTCCTACACAAAAACAAGTTAGGATTATGCCCAGTATAAGCCTTCCTGGGAACACCAGGGAACTTATCTTCTCTGTGGGCAGTACGAAACAAAACCGATCTTTATGTCATAGGCCGATTAGCAACTGGATTAAATATTCAAATCTATTATTCTCCTGTAAAAGATAATTTTTAGGTTTATTATTTTAAAATGTTTTGCCTTCTAATTCAGTAACATATTTCAAGTTACAAAACTTGTCTTTTCCATTTAAGACTAATGACCCAATGTTGCTGTAACCATTTTTTTTCTACTATGAAAATGTTAAATATCTGCCTAATTTGGATTCTCCTAAAGCAGACAATTAGTAGCAATATTACTATTTAAACCATGACAATGCTATAATAACTGTACTGTCACAGTTCAAAAGAAGATGCAACATGTTTACTCAAACATATATAAAGGCCAGTGTGCCCCACAACAAGATTTTTTTCCTCATAGATGTGTGGAATGATCCTCAGTTATATTTTTCTACACACATATGTATTCACACCATGTATTACTCACTGATATGTATATAACCAAATATCAATCTCTCAATGCAGTGACACAACAGGCAGTTCATTTCAGGACAGTTAGAATACTGTATCTTGAATGGTAATATAAGGCATGCAGTCATAGGCTGTGACTTCTGGTACCCAAGAAATGCAAGTCACCCTGAACTTTGCTATGTGGAATGCGTTATTGCTATTATGAAATGATTTCATGAACAGGTCAGCTTATGCACTACCTGAAAACAAAACACAGATATGATGATCCTGAAGGTCAAATCAATACACCACAATTGCATATGGAGTGTTAGAGTTATTTCAATATACTAAATGCATCTACATTCATTCTAACACACACAGACTATTGAAAAAAGCTCCCACATCCACACACCAGCTTAAGTTAATGCATTAATTTACTGTAGTAACTGTAATCTGTAAACTGAAGGGTTTAGGCACTAAAAATTAACATATTAAAATGTGAAGATTTAACTATAGGCACGATGACATTGTTTGCAACAATAACACTTTTTTTTTTTTTTTTTTTAACAGGCAGCTCCAGTTGCTTGATAATAGCTTGATTGTTTATATGATAAACAAATCTATGTGCATAAAGCAGATGGTAAACATACACATGTACCACATTCTTGCACTATAAACTCACTTCAAAGAAAGTTAAAAATATTGGATTTCTATTTTTCTAGTAGACACAGAATGATTTTGCAGTTCTTACAGAAGTGTTCTGATAAAACAAAATAACATCAGAAAATGCTGATGTTGAGCCCCAAATGCGTCATCCATATCATTCTGGATGTTACCATTTTTTGCTGAGTTCTAGGCAGGGTTCCAATGGAATCCTGCCTGGATTTCTTACGCACTGCTCCCTGGAAGAGAGCAGATACTTCCAGAGTTCACAACTCTGGGACAGACCTGGTTCCAGGGCCAGGGTGCCCGCTTTCAGGATCTGATCTGGAGCCAATGTCTCTAGAAACATGGGCTTCCTAGCTGGAAGATTAGTTCTAGAATAGAGGGCTTTTTGGCCATTCCTTGAGGCTCCTCAGTGCATTTCACAAGTTTACTGCTGAAAACAGAAACTGACAATATACATTTTTTCAGGGAGCTTCCAGTTCATGGGAAACTTTTTTAAAAAGTTTTTTTTATCCCATTCAGACTGAAGCCAAATTTCAAAATAAAAAATTCCCCTGATATTGGAAACCCAAATTTTGCCTAACTATTCTTTGAAGCAAAGCCTCCATTCTCTTTTGCTGTGTTTTTTGTTCAGGGCTAGAGTCAAGCCCCAAGGAGGAAGGAAACTGACATCCATTATCACCCAAGTACAGCTAGTAACAAAATAAGCTGCATGCACAGAAAATTTATTACAAAACCTCGTTAGAGGCATATAGAGCAGGAATAGCTAGAAGAAAGCAGAAAGCTTTGCAAAGTTAAAAAACACTTTCGTTCAGTTTTAATTACAGCCATATATTTGAAAGGACACAGTGGCAGAGTGGTTAAGGCATCTCACTACAGTTACTGAGGCACAAGTTTGAGGCTTGCTGCAGTAGGCTGCTGCTATAACTGGGTACCTCAGACTGGGAGGTCAGAGGCAGTCAGATATGCATGCCTGCCATATCACTCTTGTGCACTGCTGGCTATGGAAGCTCATGTGCCTTAACCATGCTAGCCTGATTGGTCTTCTAAAGTCCAGAGGACTTTGAATGAATATACTTTTAAAATACCTAGGTATCAGATATTTTAAAATGATCTTTAACCATGATGGGGAATTAAAAATAAGACGTGGCAATATTTTAAACAGAATGAGCTATCTACTAAATTGCATGAAACGAGTTTGTAAATACACTGACATGCATACAGCATCTAATATGGACAAACCCCAAAGACTCGAGCTCCAGACAGACATCTGTGTCCACACACTGAAGTCAGTGTAGCTCCACGTGAACGGACACCTATGCCCAAATCTTTAAGAATCTGGCTCAAGTAAGACCAGTGTTTCTTTCTTATGCAAATACTGTACCTACACACAAAATGTGAACATGTGCAAGATGAACACAATAACATATACGGAAGGACATCAATGGGAGCAGAAAATGAGTGGATTCTAGTGGACTCTCACAAACACTTTGATTATATCAAATGCTAAGAAAACAACATAGTATAATGGTAAATTTATCACTTCCTTAATGTCTGAACAGGTTTTTTTTATATTTACCAAAGTAGGTTCATGTAAGATATTTCTAATTATCTGCTGTAGAATTTTGTTCTTGAACATTCATATTAATGACTTTTCATTAATTTAAAAATGGGGAAAAAACTGGGAAGACAAATATAAGAACACGGAAGACTGTCACACTTTGTCAAGACCACAAAACTGACAAGTTCTCACATTTCCTTTAAGATGGGGCTTGTACTTGTTGAGCTGTAGTCCACAGAATTTCTGTTTGGTAAACTAACACAGTGAGCACGCTCCCATTCCTATCTGCAAAGAATGTTTTGTACAAGAGGAACACCTCTTACTTAAATTCCATACAGCGTCAATCTTTGAAAAGAAGTCTCCATGACTTTTCACGACTGAAAGGATATCACAGTGTTGATCCTATATACAAAGTAGGATCTGTTCCAGTATACACGAGTAAAATAATTCACATATGGAGAATGATTCATTTTGATCTCATGACAAAATCGTCCATACTTTGAGTAGGTATAACTCTCGTTTTCATTGCAAACCATCTGTTAAAAGGAGAAATAAAGTTAAATAGGTTGAATTTGTTGAGAGAAATCTAAATCTCAGAGCACATGACTAATCTTTCATTTCTGTATTATACATTCATTATTATTATCTCTACTGGGATTGTAACTGGCTGGTTTTTTTTAGGGAAACAACTAAAGGGAAGTGTGAGAATTAGGTTGTACTGCTGCTAGAATAACAGACATAGAAACGGAAATATTTTCTCCACAAAAAAGGCAGAGCATGAGCAGCAACAAGAGAAGTCATCTACACATCACTCTTCCACCCTATTGCAAATCTGACTTGCAGGTGTCCTCCCTGAGGATGAGACATTCACTTTCAAAGCAAATTAAATCACTGAACTCTTTTTGGGGACTAAAACTATGATTATTGATCATAGCAGCTTTACACCAGATGACCTAAAAGCAAAAGGCTTCTCATCTAACCAATTCTTCTCAAGCCATTCAGCTTGCCCGTCTCTTCTTTTGAAATGCACACATGCATGGAATTACCTGATTTTAAGGAGAGACTTGCATTAAATCTTCAGCTACTGGATTAAATCTTTATCCACTTTACATGCTAATTTTGTAATAAGTGACATGAATACCACTTTCTCAAGCTACACTAAAACGATCAGTTTTTAAATGATCACAACTTCAAACCACATCTTTAAGTTAAGCAAATCAGTTCTGTTCAAATCAGCTATGAAAACATGCCAAGCCAATTTAAAAAGCAAACATGATTCTACAAGTTACTCCTATCATGTTGGCCACTCAAAAGCATCCTCTGCTTTAACCATGTTTAAACCAAGTCCTCAACACAATGTGAATCAGGTCATACACGCAAATGGAAAGTGTAGTATGTCCTATTGGAGAACCATCAGCTAATTTCAACTGAAACTGAAGGCAGAAAGCTGTGTTTTCTGTAAATTTATAGCTTTTATTTGTACATATACAGGACAGAATTTATGAAAAAAAAAAGTAAATGGAAGTAAAATGGGCAACTCTCAGTTGAAAGTCTCCCATTCTCCTCCTGACTGCAACAACCCTAAATTACCTCTCTCAAAAAAACCCCCAAACCTTGGACAAGCTAAAGTTTAACAGACCATAGGAAAAATATTAGATTTTTTGATTTTCCATCCCTTTCCACTCTGAGTCTATACGATGAAAAGAGATGAAAACAAATGGGCTTTAAGAAAACATTTGAAGCAATGATGTTTAAACAGATTAAAAGAGGAAAGCTGTTACAAACAGAAGGCAAAGGTCTGTAGCTGAAAGTGAAGGGACAAAAGTAGGTAGAGTTTAAAGTAAAACAGAAGTAAAGGTAAAGACAGAACAGAGCAGTAGAAGTGAAAGTAGTTGTTTCAGGAAGGGAGGAAAAAGTAAAATTTAATCACAGCAAGAACTAAACTAAGACAGTCAGCGGTTAAGTAGTGAAGAACGGGCATTGGGGGATTTGGTGATATTAAAGAATAAAAACTAACAGGACGCAGACTATGACATAGTGGAAGAACAAGAAGTTTTAAAGTAACATTGCAGTGCAAGACAGGGAAGACAGTTAAGTTATCAATGGTAAATAAAGAGAAAAAACAGAAAGAAGAAACATTCAGCTTTGGGAAGATGGAATTTGAAATGTCTGAGTCATTTGTACCAAAGGTTTCACATAGGATCTAGCCTACATCATGCAAGAACACAAAATGAGAGGACTCCAACTTGCTTATATGCAAATGAAAAGTTAAAACGAAACATCAAAAGCAAGTACACTGCTTTGCTGCTCCATGTCAAAAATGAGTCACTTTCGCCATGCAACATTATTTTTAGCGTTTTTTAAGCTGCAAATTAACCTAAAGCATTTTGTTTTCTTTCAGATGGGTAGAATGCTGCCCCAAAACCTTAATTCTGGATGCAGGCAACCTTTGACTCGTCTCGCCTTAGAAACTTGGTTAAGACAGTCACTTTGGAAAATGACTTTACCTTCTCTAATGCTGCTTTAGGAAGGTGCTTTGAAACGATCAAAAGGCTCATTAAAATTAAAAATGCCCCAGATATAGCAGAGTAACTGAGTTCCAGTCTCAACCCACTGCCCCAGAAAAAAAACACTGGATGATATACACAGACTGTAAGAAAACCTGGGAAGGGCAGATTTAACTAAAAGTTACGTTCCTGTGAGAGTAAGGACAATTCCTCACAGACAGTTGTCTTTTACAACATTATATCATTCCCATCTGTCGCCAGGACCCCTCGACACGCGAGGTCTACTCCCTACCTGGAGCAAAGATTCAGGATGTGAAGGGGATGATCCAGGCCGTGATCCAGCCCACCGATCACTACCCCATGGTCCTAATCCATGTGGGTACTAATGATGCGGCCAGGAGAAGCCCTGATCACCTGATGGCAGACTACCACACTCTGGGGGGCATGCTGAAGGAGGTAGGTGCGCAGGTGGTTTTTTCTTCTGTCCTACCAGTGAGCGGACGTGGAAGACAGCATGCGACGTGCATGGCAGAGACCAACTGGCGGCTTCAGGAATGGTGTCTCAAGGCAGGCTTTAGCTTCCTCGACAACGACCCGCACATCACGACAAGAGACATGCCTGGATGGGATGGGCTCCACCTTTCCCCTAAATATAAGTGTGTGTTTTCTTCTAGGTTGGCGGATCTCCTCCG